CTTCCAAAATACTGGGGAGACTAGATTGTAGCAATCTCTAGTTTTGTTGTTGCTTTTATGATTCCCATCTTGCTGAATCTGTGCTGGAGCTAGACTGAGGACTTGTGAGTATATGGAAGGCATAGGCTGCTCCAACCCTGGCTTTGTATCACAAGCTAGGTTGAACTTTTATCAAGGACAAACGCTTGGATGACAGCTGTTTATGTAAAGGCCCACTTAGCATTTAACTTCAGTACTTCACACTTGAAGGCATGGTTGTAGGGTGACCAGAGTGGCCTTAGAAAGGAGAAATGCGGTAAAAGCTATTCCTGGAAGCCAGAAAGCAAGGCGTGGCTAGAGGCTAAGAAGAAAAAGTACAAAGGGAACAATGCCAACGTATGTATCATGATAGACAGATAAAGTACTCCAGTGCCTAGAGTTGTTCCGATGGTCATTGCCCTGTAGACTAAATATCATGGACCTTCTCAGGGGCCTGGAAGTGTGAAGATGGGGGTCACGGCATGCAGTAATTAGAGTGAACAGCAGAGGGCAGGATCAATGACGCATCCACTGCAAACCCTGCACAAGCGCAATTCAGTTTTGGTTTGAAACCCAGAACTGAAGTTGGAAGATCAGGGCCAGGTCAGATCAGACGATGGGGTTACACAAAGCCAAGGAACTCAAAAAGCTCTGCCTGTTGTCTCCTCTTTATCTAGAGCTTGGGAAAGTTAGTATTTGGGACTATAATTTCCAGGACTGCCCCTCGCCGCCACCACCACGATGAATGGCTATGTTGACAGGAGATTCCAGGTACTGTACTGTCATCCAAACAAGAAGAAAAAAAAGTTTCCCAAGCTCTACTCATGACACTTCATGAGTCTAATTTTAATATTATTCTTTAAGACTTAGATTTTAGAATGAGCTTTACTCTTCCAGATGTTACAACTTAGGAAGTATTTTGCTTGATTAAGCCAAGATTTCACCTATAATGGCCAGCCAAATATCTCTGGCAGTTCATGAGCCCTCCAGCAGCTTTCCCCTTTCCTTCTACTCAGGAGGCAAAATCCCTGCAGGACTGGCAAAATCAGTCCAAGACATTTTACTTCCTGAGGTAAAGGAGAAAATGAATCTGACCACTACACCAGAGAAGTACAGTACTCAGAGCCAGTCGAATTATTTTGCTACCTGAGGCATCAAATTGTATAAACAACCCTCCCTATGCGAATCCCTGGAAGTAAAATAACAATATATATAAAATAACAACAGTTTAAATAATTAGCCATTTGTGGCATTTCATGACACTGAACATTTGCTTCATAATGCAGCCACTTCACTCTGCCTAATGCTAGGGCCAGCCCTGCCTAGCATTCAGAGGCAAATATCCTGCTAAATTAGGTGGAAACGGCATGCACATTCAGTGCTGTGACTCCCAGAGTGGGCAACCAGATGCCTCTAAGAAGATGACAAGCCGAATATTAAGACAGTAAATGTCCTATATGATACAGTGGCCAGTGTGGTAATCAGTAGCGTACTGCCTCTGACAAGGGATATGCTATGCAGCTTTCATGACCAGTAAATTCACACAGGATAGTTTTACCTAAACCACTTATAAAGTTGTCTGAGCCAACAGCCATCACTAAATCTTGTAGTAACAAATTCAAGAAGTTGATGTATGTGTTGCATGAACAAATGCTTCCCTCTGCCTGTCTTGAACCTACTGCCCATTAGATTCATTGAAAGACCAAGTATCATACGACTGCTGGATAGCTAAGCAGTCTAAATATCTGGCTGTGGAGCTAGAGCCATAGTTAAATTCCCCACTGTGCCTCCTTGACAACTGCTGGTCTTGATGATTCATAGGGTTCCTTTCAGCTCTAAGATGATGGTGATCATCATCATCATCAGATGGCAAAAAAAACACTTCTCCACTCTTAGCTTAATTGGATGAGCCTGGGCTCAAACATAATACAAGAGAGAAAGCAAACAGAAGTTTTTGGAATTGGCAAAGGAACTGAAAATAAACTGGCAACTGTTGTAATGCTGTTGCATAAATAACAACACTGTGTATAGTTCTTATCAGTTCATGTGGAAAGGGGAGCCATGCACCTTTCTTGCAAAAGAAGGCTAAAGAGGATTTATTAAGAAAACCTTAATGAACCTATCTAAAAAGAGATAAAGGGATTTTACTTTTTCTCTATTACTACTTTTTATAAGAAATTGAGGGAATTTTGCCACTGTGCTCCTAAATCTCTCTTTTCTAGGTAGCTAGCTAAAGGGATGTGGTGGCACTGCAGGTTAAACTGCAGAAGCCTCTGTGCTGCAAGATCAGAAGACCAAGCAGTCATAAGATCGAATCCACGCGACAGAGTGAGCTCCCGTCGCTTGTCCCAGCTCCTGCCAATCTAGCAGTTCGAAAGCATGTAAATCTGAGTAGATAAATAGGTACCACCACTGTGGGAAGGTAACAGCATTCTGTGTCTAGTCGCGCTGGCCATGTGACCACGGAAGATTGTCTTCGGACAAACACTGGCTCTATGGCTTGGAAACAGGGGCAAGCACCGCGCCCTAGAATTGGACATGACTGGACTAAATGTCAAGGGCAACCTTTACCTAGCTAAATATAAGGCTAGATTGGGTTGGATCAAACCAAAGCCCTATCTAGTCCAGAATTCTGCTCCCACACTGATCAACCAATGGTCTTTGGAAAGCCCATGAGCAAGACATGAGTGCAACAGCACTCTCCTGCTAATGTTCTCCATCTAGCCACTGATATTCAGAGGCAGAATGCCTCAAATATTGGAGGCAATATATTACCATTAGGACTAGGATGGATAGTTTATCTGGAGATGAGTGTGTACTTTATGCATGTTCTCCACTATTGAGCTATAGCCTCATTCTAGTAAGTTTAATTGTCACATATTTTATTAGTATTTTATCTTTATCATGCAAATCTCTGTATTTGCCTATGCTGAACTTCATCTTCCATTCTCCTGACCACTTGGGAACATATCCTTTTGGAGTATCTCACAGGTGGAATGGGAATTCATTTTCCTGACTAATGGTGTGTCACCTGCACAATTTTCTACTGAGGCTTGGGTTATGTGTCTGCTACTTGACTGCCTATTTATTTTTGAGGCTAAATTAAATTATGTTTTAGCCTTTAACACTACAAGTAATTTTGGGTCAAGGATACTGAAGGACCACCTGTATCTATATGAGTCCACCCAAAAAGTAAGCTTACCCACCGGTGAGAGCTACAAAACTATCAAATATCACAAACAGGGCCTTTCCCCATATCCCTAGGAAGTACATTGAATGTTAAGAATTTATTTATTCAAATCTACATTTCATTTATGTTTTTTATATTGTTCTATTTTTTACTGAGTTTTTATTGCTGTCTGATTTCTTATCTTAGTGTTTTTGTACTGAATGAGATTCATGGTTATTAAGTAATAATAATTGTGTGCTGTCAAGTCAATCCTGATTTATGGAGACCCTTTACAGGGTTTTCTAGGTGGAGAATGCTCAGAAGTGGTTTGTCATCCCATTTTTTTTGGGGGGGGGGCTCTCTGGGACTGCACAGCTTGCCCAAGGCTACACAGACTAGTTCTATTTCATGGGAGGCACAGTGGAGAATCAAACTCCCAACTTCTGGCTCTGCAGCCATATACCTAGACCACTGAGGTAATAAGCACTTAAGGGATCAATCTGAACATTTAAAAAATTAACTTACACGTCTGGTGTTCTATTGAACAGTAGTAAACCAGAACTCTACTGCTCAATGTTCTTATCTCATTCATCCTGAGCAGGGGTCCTCAACGTTTTCTGAGTCACGGACCGGTTAGGGGGTGGGGTCTGTGTGCAGGAGGGTGGGGCACCCCTCGCGCTCGCGGGTGGGCAGAGCATGCTAGTGGAGGGGTGCGCTCTTGTGCACATGCAAAGGGGCAGAGTGTGCTTGCGGAGGGGTGGAGCACATTTATGTGCATGCACAAAAGGGTGGAGTGCACTCACAGAGGGGAGGGGCGCATTCGCATGCATGTGTGGAGGGGCGGAGCATGGTCACGTGCATGCACAAAGAGGCAGAGTGCACTTGTGGAGGGGAGGGACACCTGTGTGTGCGGATGGCGGGCCGTGCGTGTGGGGTGGTAGGAGATTTGTCTTCGTGGAGGGGAGGGGCATGCTTGTAGGTGGGAGGGGCTCCGTGCATGTGGGGTGGTAGGAGATTTGTCTTTGCAGTCTAGTCCTGCCATGGCCACGGACCGACACTGGGCCACGGACTGGGAGTTGGGGACTCCTGCTTTAGAGCACTGGTTCCCAACCTTTTTCGAGTTGCAACCCCCTTTTATAATAACAATGTGACCTGTGACCCCACCAACACCACACTTGCATAAAAAGGCTTTTTTAACAGGATAAAGTCATCCCTTCTCAGAAAGTAGAGGCTTCTTTCTCCCCCAAAGAGCCTGTTTTTCATACATACACATACCTGCTAACTTGAATATCTGGCTCCGAAAGGTCAAGGAAGACATTATTTAACAAAGGCTACATATAAGGTGACCTATGGAACCCCCCACCCCCAAAAATACTTGGTGACCTCCTTGAGGGGTCATGACCACCGAGAACCACTGCTGTAGAGGGTATACTATGTCATTGCTCCCATGTGACAGGGAGGCAACTAAGGCTTAGAAATGTCACCCCCGAGGGAACGTCCAGGCAAGCGAATAGTCTGGAGCCCAAGTCCCACACTTCAACCATTGCAAAATGAACTGGGAAGGGCTTACACAGTCTGGTCCTGCCCTGAAAGCACATGTGTGCCTTTTACGTGATAAATGTACACAAAGCTGTTTCACATATTCATAAAGCAGTAGAGATTTAGGACTAGGAAGAAAATCCGATAGCAACTGCAGCAGACCGAGAAAATATGTTCCCTTTTACAACTTGGCTTCTAATCCTCATGGCTACAGAATTCTGGGCGAAAGGAGAAGAGGAATTCAAATGTAGCCATAAGCACATGGCGCTCTCACCGAGGTATTCTGGCACTGTACGCTGCTGGAGTTGAAGCGTACAGCTGGCACCCGCTGCTGGCGGCCCTGGATGCCCAAGACACACTCGTAGTTCTTCTGCCCCGACTGAGGCTGTGGAAGGTTCTTGGCACGCAAGGTAATAGGTTGCAATACTCCCACCGGGATCAAGATCTCCCCACCGGGGAGCAGCTCCGGGCAGCCCTACAGGAAAGGGAGAGATGAAAGGCACATCGTTGGTGCAAGGACCACTGTGGGGATCCTTGCCCCCTCCTCTGGTGTGGCTTCGTCGGTTGTCAGGGCCTGACAGAGGGTAGAAAAGATGAGGTTCCAAATCCTAACTGATGTGTTTGACCTTCAGAACAGCAGATATGGGGGAAGGGGGGGATAGCACTCAACCCTCCAGCCATTGGTAACAGCCTCCTTTCCATGTTTACCCAAAAGAAAGCCCACAGACTTGTATTCTTAGCTCTGCTCCTTCCCTTTGATTCCACTCCACCCACCCTTTTTTTGGTTTTGTTTTAAGTAATAGTCTGTCTGATGAAGAGATCTAGCAGTCTCGAAAGCTTACACATATTTTTGTGCCTTTTTGCTGGTTAGAAAAGGTACTGGCCCTTCCATTTATTATGATAATGATACTGCCACAATAAGGATACTGGATCTTTTCAACACAGTTCCCGTTGTCCATTTCATGCGTAAAGGCACCTGTCAGTATCAATCATGGGGGTAGGAGATGGGCTTCCTGCGAATCCCCCCCCAGAACTTCTTCCTCCTCTTCCTCCTCCTCCTCAGTGAACAGCTACATGACCTTTCCCATCCCAAGGCCCAATCCAGACAAGGGGATAAAACCCAGGAGCTTTGCTCTCAGCTCCCTCTTTTGCCTGGAGCGGGTGCATGAGAGAGATGGAGATGAAAGAGCCTGCTGGGCGCTCCGAGTCACCATGGAAACCAGAGCCTGGTTAATTGCTCCTTGGTACCAGAGGAAAGGTAGGGGGAGGCCTGCTGGGCTGGCCTGCTCTGTTTACACGGCTAGCCAGGAGGCGGGGAGGCACTGACTGGCTGGGAAGCAATAGAGGAAACGTGGCGCTGACCTGGAGAACAATCAAACCCCGGGTGCAACTTCCTGCCCGGACCTAATACAATGGGGTCAAGACAAAAGGCAGAGCCGCTTGCTGAGAAAGAGGTGCCTGGAAATACCAAGCTGCCTCTGTAGCTCTCTCAGTCCTCATGTGTAGTGCAAGCGTTCACTTATGTGTGCAGAGACGTCCACACACACTCAGCCCTGAGTTTTCCTGTTTTGTCACTGCTTCCATCGCAACCCTAACAGTTAACAGGGGACACCTTACTTCCCAGAGCCTCCAAGTCTTCTGTCCAGACCGCTCCCACCCCTCCAGCCACCGCATCCAACCGCAACCCAATCGTTGGCCCCTCCAAGGGAACTGCTATCAATTACCTCCCCACAAAGAGCCCCCCGGCGTCTCTAGGTCTATTGATCCCCCTCGACTGGGCCAGACGATTGATTGTGAGTGACTACCCCCTTACCAGCAAAGACCCTGGGTTCCCCTCCCTCCTCCCCAGTATTGATCTGCCCTCTCCACCCAAGCACTTTAGGGCTGTTATTGGTTGCCAATACTGATTGCTGCTGCTGCCGCGATCTGCCACCTGCTGACTTTTCTCTGGTTGCTCTGGACTCCTGGCCTTGGGGGACACGGGTTTATACCCAAATCTTTTGCACAACAGTCCTTAAGGGCAGTACTGATTGTCTATTATACAGACCACTTCCACAGATCTCAGCTTCCAGCTTATTTCTAGAGTAAAGTTTCTAGGTCTCATCGTTGTGAGGATGCTGCCATGATGGCAGCTCCTAATGGTCAGGGCAAAGGGAAAATTCCTCCATACTCCAAGTCTCTTGGCCCCTCATCAAAGCTCTAATTCTTTGCTCTCCACCCGCCCCCCAATTGCTCTTTCTTCTGTCACCCCCTCCTTCACTTGCCAAGAATACACAACCTGAAAACATCACAAAAATACGTTTTTAAAAAAAGCTCCACTCAGATACATGAAAAGCACTGCATAATTTGCATACAATTGCAGAATTGCTATTTCTATCTCACACCCCACCATCAACTGCAATGTCAGGGGAGAAAGAGAAAAATACCAAAGCAATTTTTACTGTTATTCAAAAATGCAGAGCCCTAGAGAGCCCAAAGAAAAGAATTGATATTCTGGGTCCAAGGAACATGCCTTGAGACTTCCCCACCTTCTACACCCTTCTCCCCACCCCCCACTGGTTTTGAGCAGGGAGAGGAAGTACTTCATGCCTATCAGATTGTGCCTCCAGGAGCTATAATCCCCCTGAAAATGCCTTGTGGATTTCTCACTGTGCTCCCTGTTCCTCCTACATTAATAGAATGGGAACTTTATACATGACAGAATTGAATAGCGAGGGAACACTGGATGACCCATCTCCAGTGGGGGCTTGGGATATTGGTAGTCCTGAAGTCAAGAGTTCCTTTCAAGGGCCCCCCAGGGGATCCCCAAAAGACAAGGTAGGAGTGTGTAGAAAGAGGGGATCTTACACTGCCAGGCCTCCTCTCACCTCAGTGGTGTTGACTCGTCCCTCTAGGAAGAAGCATTTGGCAACATTGTGGGTGCAAGTGTGTCTGTATTTACACCAGTGGCAAGGATAGTGGCTGCTGACACATGACAGGCACCTGCGAGGGGGTGAGTGAAATAAGAATAGTTCATAAGCAGAAACAAACAGCATTATTCATTTTCTATTAAATAAAATGCTACGCCCCACCATTTCCCCCCCCCCGATCTTCATTCCCTGTTCCCATTGTTCTCCTTCAGGATGTGAGACTCCTGGGAAGCAAGACTGGGAGGGGATGGGCAGAAAGACTGATTGAATCAGCCCCCAAAGTCCTGTCAAAGCCATCTGGTGGCTAAGGAGACAAGCCCTGAGGGAATGTTGACTGAAGCCCCCTGCCACAAACTGACCCGATGGTGCAAGGCCAGCCCCAGCACTGAGGGTGTGTGTGTCTTGTGTGTGTTTGTGTGTGCACGTCTTGTGTGTGTGTGTGTGCATCTTGTGTGCGTGTGCACACAGACACACTTCTTAAGATTTAGATATCAGAGATAAGTATGCAGTTCCCTGTTGTAAAAACACAAGAGCGAGGGGAAAGCATGCCAACTTCTGTGAAAGAAAAACAAGGCAGCAGAGCTAGGCTCCGCTCTGCCTTGCAGACACGCTGGTTCATCTGAGGTTCTTAAAAGGAGAGGCAACAAGGCTCAGGACTTGCCCAACAAATCCCATCCACTGGCTTAAAAGCAGCACTTTCCTGAATCCCTGGCCATGGGTGCTGACTAAAAGGATTGTACAGTATTTGTTTGTTTGTTTGTTTGTTTGTTTGTTTGTTTGTTTGTTTGTTCATTCGTTCATTCATTCACTTGCTCACCCACCCTTTGTACTGGTGCTAATGTCTCTATATTCAAAGCCGTAGCATTCAAGATTCCTGGGGCTTAAGTTTAGAATCCATCCTTATCTCCTTCCATGATCAGAAAGTACAGTAGTTACATTTTCACCTTCTTTGGAAAGGGACTTGTCCTTACCCCCTACATATATCTTATTTACTGATGTTACTCTGCCCAGCATGCCAAGTACACTATTGATATTGTCTAAGTATTCCTGAAAGCAAGTGTCTTGAGCCTTATTTGTGATAGACAGGAGGGACACAAACTACCCAGCTCCTAAAATAACAGTATTTACTTCTTCAATACTTATAGGCCCCACCTTCTCTCCTACTAATTCAAAATGGCCTACATGGCCAACTCTTCTCTTTTTATATTTATTTATTTATTTATTTATTTATTTATTTATTTATTTATTCATTCATTCATTCATTCATTCATTCATTCATTCATTCATTCATTCATTCATTCATTTGCTCACCTACCCTTTGTACTGGTGCTAATGTCCCTATATTCAAAGCCGTAGCATTCAAGATTCCTGGGGCTTAAGTTTAGAATCCATCCTTATCTCCTTCCATGATCAGAAAGTACAGTAGTTACATTTTCACCTTCTTTGGAAAGGGACTTGTCCTTACCCCCTACATATATCTTATTTACTGATGTTACTCTGCCCAGCATGCCAAGTACACTATTGATATTGTCTAAGTATTCCTGAAAGCAAGTGTCTTGAGCCTTATTTGTGATAGACAGGAGGGACACAAACTACCCAGCTCCTAAAATAACAGTATTTACTTCTTCAATACTTATAGGCCCCACCTTCTCTCCTACTAATTCAAAATGGCCTACATGGCCAACTCTTCTCTTACCTTTTGCATTTTTATTACTTGTCACATAACCTTTTTCCACTAGTGGCAAAATGTCATCCCAACAAAGTAACAAACAGTTTGTTTGTTTGTTTGTTTGTTTGTTTATACCCCACCTATCTGTTCATCGCGAACACTCTAGGCGGCTTATATCCTTATAACAGCCTTATAAGGCAAAGTAAATCAAAAGGTAATGACTGTATGAAAATCATCCAGGGAGATTCACAGATCAATGGAATCTTGAACCCTTCTCTCTGCAGCCCTAACCCATCACTCAAGCAACAACAACAAAACCCAATTTATTTATTTATTTATTTATTTATTTATGTATTTGTTTGTTTGTTTGTTTGTTTGTTTGTTTGTTCATTCATTCCATTTATACCCTGACTATCTGTTCATCGCGAACACTCTAGGCGGCTTATATCCTTACAACAGCCTTATAAGGCAAAGTAAATCAAAAGGTAATGACTGTATGAAAATCATCCAGGGAGATTCACAGATCAATGGAATCTTGAACCCTTCTCTCTGCAGCCCTAACCCATCACTCAAGCAACAACAACAAAACCCAATTATTTGGGTCTCATGGGTAACAGGAGACCTATTCCTTTGACCTGTTCCTATCTTATACGTTACAGGGAGGATTTGTCCTCCTGTTACAGTTTAGCAAGGTTCACCGTGAGAATAAATTATTCAAGCTGAATTATGATCAAATAGAAAATATAAAGACAAACCAGTGTGGATGAGGATTTGGGAGATACAGGTTCTTGTCCCCTCTCAGTCATGAAATATACCTTGAACCAGTCATGTTCTCTCTCTGCAGGGTTGTTGTGAAGATGGAGGAGGAGGAGAACCATGTGACTCACATTGAGCTTGTTGTAGGAATGGTCAGAGATCAATATAACTATTAATAATAGATGGGGTGTGATGGGGGCCCTCAGCTGTTCATGGTGGGAACAACGACTAGCGCTCGGCTAAAGAGGTACCCTCTCCCAAAATGCACATAACCCAAAAACTCACGTGCGCAGAAGGCTACAGTCATAAAAGACAAAGTTCGTGCTGGCAAATTCCACACCAGTCTCCTTGGAAAGAAGGCGGAGTTTAACCGTGCGGACATCACCTGAAATGATGATGGTGGAGCGTGAACATTTTTTAAAAGGAAGTCATTTCAGTAAGCATATACTCACAGGTTATGGTTCACCAATTAACCTAGAGCAAATTTAATTATCACCCTCTACTTCCACACTCAGAATCAGTATGGCAAACTACAGTCCTCTCTGCACATGTAAGCATATACTGCATCTGTTCATCCCCCCCCCCCGCACTTTCAATTTGCCAGCTTTAAGCAGAAAAAGAAACACAGTGCAAAGAGCCGCCCTATCAAAACACTGTTTGGTCCTAACTCTCATTCTACATCTTACAACATTAAGAAGCATGAGCAGGGGGTGCTTTAGAGATCCTTTTCCCATCTTGGCTCCTAAGAAGTTGCGAGGCTTGCACCTCCCACAATTTCTTACAATTGTCCATTGTGGCTAGAAAGGACAGGAATAGAGAGCCCACCCAATAACCCTGAAGACATGGAAAAGCCTGCTTTGAAGCATTCGGGAGTGCTTCACATTTAACATCATCTGGCTGCCGTCCTTTATAAAAACACAGCACAAATCAGGCTGGTGTTATTATTACTCATCCATTGCAGCCAGGGCGAAGGGCACCTGAGGCTGAGCGCGGCCTCCCCCAAAGCCACCCAAGAAGTTTGTTTTTTGTTTGTTTTTGAGTCGAGATTAAAACTGGAGAGCTGCTCCGAATTCATAGCTCATGCCCCTTCGCACCACCGCCCTACACCAATGACCCTTCTGCCTCCAGGCACTCACCGTACTCCCCAGGGGGCTCATCCCTCAAGGTAGGAGAAAGGCACTGGATTCCTCCATCCACCTGGAGCTGCCCCTCACTCTCTCCAAGGCTCTCAAAGGAGCAAGTCACGCCAGCACTCAGGTCTGGGACATAGTAGACAGTAAGCTGAAGCTGAAAACAGGGACCAAAAAGAGGCACATCGCTAGAGAGATAAGTAAGTTTGATAACTATGTTAAAAGGGAGGGAGGGAGGGAGGAAAGAAGCAAGGAAGGAGACAAATAATTGCTCAACCAACCATGCTAGTTTTACCGATATAGGTTAAAAAGGGATTCTATGACCGAAATTACCAATATTGCTTAATGTAGTAAACTGTAATAGAGTAGGCCCACTGAATCAATGGGGATTTGGTGAGTCAACTCCTCTATAATTGATTCCATTGATTCAAATGTGCACCTACTCTAACTGCAACCCACCAAATCCTCATTGATTCAATAGGATTACTTTAGTAACAGGATTTTACCCTATATTAAAGATAGCTGGCACGTCATAGGAAACCTTCCTTGCCAGTTAGGATCCTGCTGGAGATATCAGGTAACTCTCATTGTTCCTTCAAAGCATTCTGCTAACACAATTCTATAAAAAGCAAGGCACTTGAGCATAGTATTTTTTTAAAAAATCATAACAATTTTCTTCATAGTTATAGTGATAAATAATTATGTGCCATCAAGTCAATTCTGACTTATGGTGAGCCTTTCCAGAGTTTTCCAAGAAGAGAATCCTCAGAAGTGGTTAATCCTTCCCTCCTTCTGGGGGTGTCTTGGGACTGTGCAGCTTGCCCAAGGCCACCCAGGCTGGCTCTTCTGGAATGCACAGTGAGGAAATTTTACTTATACCCAACAACAAGAAAAGACTTAGGCTGTGTGCTTAATTGTAACTGTATTTTGATCAGGCCATGAAATCTAAATCATATCAAACCATACAATTTCATGATGTTCCTCTAGGATAGCTTTGACAACCACACAGTCAACAAAAACAGGCTTCATAATAATTTATCAACACTCATTAGAATCAGAGGTCATGGTGACTACTATAGGTAGAAACTTGCTAAAAGAATACCTAACGATTTTCTCTCCTGCCTCTCCTGTTCTCCCAGAAAAAAATAGTGAGTTTCAGTCTCTGGAAACATTTGGGGTCATATTCGTATTTCAAGAGTTTTAGATGGCCTTGTGATGTGGAAGTTCAATTGACAGGGAGAAGCTATAATGTACATATTTATAACTGTATCTTGAATAGGTTTAGAAGCGATTGTGAGGTTCTATGTTCTATATTCATTATCCTGTCATCTAATCTGATGGAGATTAATAAAAACAAGTAACCCACAGTTCAGTGGAGTCATGGATTATAGGGTCAAAGTACTGGCACTTCTTCATTTTCAAGAAAGATAATGTCATCTTTCATCTGCAACCCTCCAAATGCTTCCCTATTTTATCTGAACTCAGTTGCACTCTTCATAGTGGCTGGGTAGAGTAGAGGTGAGGTGGATTTCTGCAATAATAATATATTGTCAGGACATATTTCAGATGTAAAGCAAAATATTTCAGGGTGGACCCAATCTGCTTGATGAAAGACCCAGTCCTTGTAGGGATGGCAACTATGAAGAGAACAGCAATTGATATGGGTCAAAACAACTGAGCTGGGAAGTAGAAATCCAGAAAAGAGTGGAGGGGGTACAGGACTCACCATAATGCTAGGCTCTGTCACTGAGATGTTATTGGGCTCCACAAGCAGCTGCACACATTGAGATAGAGTTGCTGTGAACCGGTGAGGCTCTGCCGCACGGGGGCATTCGCTTTCTCTACAACACCTGTGGCATGGGAAGAAGAAACGTTTGGAAATGAAATGGGTGCTCTCCAGCCTTTCTACCATTGTTGCTGCCCATCAGATGGAAAAGCTCACAGTACCCCAACCATAGCAAAAAAGTGGCAGAAGAACAGAACTTGCGTCAGAGGCACACACCACCAGGGGAAGCTCACGGCACTTGGTCGCAATGGGGCTGATGGCATCTGGATCCAGTAATGAACAAAGGCATGAGGGGCAATGATGGGGAAGAGTCTCACAGGGTAAACGTGGCTCAGCAGAGGTCAAGGCAGGCCATGTAGGGAAAACAGAAGCGGCAGGAGGACTGGGGCCATGGAGTTGCGTGAGTGTGTGCACATAGGGTGGTGCTCAGGAGAGAGGAACTCTGGGGACTATAAATGCAGACTTGCTGCTTCTTCTGCTCCAGTGCCCTGGAGGCTTGTTAGCGCTGGAACCAAGGATGCTTGGGGAGCTGGGGAGGGACATGCTCGGCTTCAGGAAGAATGAGTAGCAGTTGTACACCAGGAAAGCCAAAAAGAGGAAGATTGGGGAGGGGGGGAAACAAACAAACCTAACCTTGCCAGTCAAAGAAATAAGGGCCCGAGTCAAGAGACAATGAATGGGAAGAGAAAGAAGCTTGGATTTGGGACTCAGTATAGACAAGTTTCTCTCCTGCTTTCCTCTCTCCACCATGCTGCGGGGGGGGGGGCGGAGAGGAATGCCACCTCTTTTCTCACTCCCCCACCCTACTCCTCAGTATTATCACACAGCTCTATATTAAGCCAGGAGGTGCAAGGTGCCATGCCAGGTGCTGAGGCAGTGATAGGAGACTGAGAAGAAATGCAGGGAGGAGGAGGAAAATGTTTGCTAGTGCAGAGCAGTAGCTGCTGGGAAAGTGGAGGAGAATGAAGGGTTTCCCTTCACCCTCTCTTTCTGCTGCATCTCTTCTCTTTTCCCCCCTGGTTCCACACTGCCACATGACCAGGGACGAGGGAACCAGGAGTCCACCGCCAGAGCAGCAAATGACATGCCTCCTACCAGTTCATGTCCATGTGCAGAGTATCCAAAACTTCTATATATAAGTATTTTTAAAATAATGAACCATTTGCTACCCTTTCATTACACTTAAAATCTGTTGCCTCGGGACTGTTGCCTCACTCTGCCTAATAACAGGGCTGGTCCCTGCAGGATTCTTCCTTGACTCCTTCCAAGTATAATGTTGAGTGGTGTTCTCTCTTTCTCTCTCTCTCTCTCTCTCTCTGTGTGTGTGTGTGTTTGAGGGAGGGGGAAAGAAGAAACCTCCCACCTTTCGCTCAAGTCAGGGGACAACAGCTTCTGCCTCCTCCTCTAGTCTCGAACTCCCACTAACTCTTCTCCCTCCTAGTTAGCTCACAGTGCTGGCAGATTTAATAGGATTAAGCCTCCTGCAGAGTCTAGATAAGGCGGAGGAGGAGGGAGAGAGCACACAGTAGGAGGGAGAAGAGGGGATATAAATTGACAGCCTCCCCGCTCCCTGACCTCCACTTCCCCATATGTTGGGGGCAGTGGGAAGAAGAATAGGATGATTGCTTGATCATGGATTCTTTCCCTGCCAATCTGCTTATTTTGGGAAGGGGTAAAAATTCTCTCTCTCACCTGTTGTGGAGGACACACCAGCCACAGTGTGGGTCTTTCGAACCCAAGCATTCAGCACATGATGTGTATTGTTCACAGTTTTCTACCGGAAGTCGCACCACCTAAAGGAAGGACTACATTATTGTATGTTCAAAGGATAGAAAATTTCCTCCTCCTCCTCCTCCTCCTGACCCCTTGGCTTGCCCCACATCCTGTCTGCGAGGATTGCCATTCCTCCACACACCTCCACCAAGGCTTCTGTGCCTTAAAGATGAATAACATGCTGAAATGTAACTGCTGTATCCTTCTAGGTCAGGTACAATTTAAATAATGGACCAGGTGCTGTACTTTCATGACACACCTAGTATGCTTGCCTTGTATGATTTCTAGCACAAGAGACACCTGTTGAATTAGCAACCTCACAGCAACAGAACTTCTCCATCTCCCCGCTCACTACTCTTATTCTTAGTCAAAGCTTGGAATAAACCAACTATTTTAACTAATTAAGCTAAACCATTAAATTTTAACCTGAGAGGAACAAAAAAACCATTAGCTTAATTAGGTCCTAATTATTTTAACCTTTATCCATAACTGCTACAGCTATTAATTTTACTTATTCTCTTCTAAAGGGGCTGTGATCAGCAGTGAAAGCAACAAAAAAGAGTCTGAGCCATGGCCAGGAGAAGGGGAGCTGATCACGGCAGAAAGAAGGAGGTGGTATCTTATTTTCACTCCCTAGCTCCAGCTTGGAATTGACACTGCTGCATGGTGGGTGGAAACAAAACAAAACAAAAAGAGGTGGGGGGAGGAAAGCCTTGCAATATTTGTACAAAACCTAAAACAAAGCTGGGCAATACCTTTCCTGGGCCATTCAAATAGATTAGGGTCAGGTAAGCTTTAGGGTGTAGTAGAAACCGTTGTCAGACTAGGCACTGCAAAGCTTAAGGGTAATTGCGAAGAAACAGAATAGTACCAAAAAAGAAAACATTTACCCAGAACAAGTTCCTCAGTCTTAATGTGCAGAGAGTCAAAGGATGCACAGTAGTATCATCATGTCTCTGATTCAGTTTTCTACTACTGAGATACTGACACGTCTCTGCAGCCAGTTATTGCTGCATTTCCCTATTGCACTGGACCAGTGCCTTCTAACTGGAATGCAGACCTAATTCTTTATTAACTCTTTTCAATCCAGAAAAACAACCCACAGTGTTTGATGGATCTGTGAGCAGTGCAAGCGTTGCTGGGAAATGAGGGAAGCAGGGAGGAGACATGCGGGTCAGCAACAAAACATAACTGAACAGGTTGTTAGATCAATGCTTTAGGTTAGGGCAATGTTCTCCAATTTTTTAAACTTAGGCTTTCACTCAATAAATAAAAAAATTTAAGCACTGATACTTACCTACACTAAATGAGGTTTTTAGATTTTCAAATTAGAAACTTTTGTATTTAACATCCCACATGTTGCTCTCAGCATCTGATCCTATTTCACTTACATTTTAATTTTTGGTTTGTTTGAACAATCAGTTTTCTACCTTCCTCACTATTCTAGGCATTCTGGATTCTCCAGACAATTCACCCTTCTCTGTGCCTCTGTCTTCGAATCGTCCTCAGCACCGTTCTAGAGATTTTACCTGACTACTTAGTATATACTGTATACCCTCTAGCTTCTCTTAATTTTCACATTTTAGATAGCCAGATGTATTTGTGGAGTCATATTGATCCACCCTCATTAGTTGGACAAAGGACATGGCCTTCCAAAAGTACATACATACACACATTTAGGTTGTCGTTAAAATTTTCGCAGGCCAGCTAAAAACAGGGATTGTAAATAATTTATGGGATATGTCTTAACTCAAAAAGAACTGTGCCTTTACTTTTTTTTAAATTTGAACCTCCTAAACTTTGGAAAATCTCTCCCCCCCCTGCATGTGCACCACCCCCTCCCGTAAGAAGTCTTGCCTGTTGGAGGCTCTTATCTTTTCAGGGATGAACTGAAGGAAACGAACATTCCATAGGCATACTGGCATCTTGTACTCCAGACCTAAAGCCTGGATTAAATCAAAGAACAATGAGCCAAATTCAGCTTAATTACCTTTCCGTTATCAGCTAGAATCAGCCCTTCTCCAGCTTGGAGCTCTCCAGATGATTTGGACTTCAACTCCCAGAATTCCACAGTTGGCAATGGCGTTCTGGGAGTGGCAGTCCAACATTTCTGAAGGGCCCATGGTTGTGGAAAGCTGGTTTAAACACCTGTCTCCTCCAAGCTCTCCCTACCTCCTAGCTCAGCGGTTCTGTGGCCTTCATTAGAAGCCTTACCCCACCATTACGAATGAAACTCACCTGTCTCTGACTGAGAAGATAAAGAGATCGCTGGTCAGGGCTGAGGACCATGTCACGCAGCAGGGGCTCCCCAGGCATAACCGGCACAGACTCATAAAGATGGGCCTCATTTGGATTGTCCACACGCACCTGTGGGGTGTGATTGCATGAGGAGAGGCTTTTGTAATCCAGATTTCAATGATATCAGTAAAGAATGCACAACCATTGCTGATCCTCCTGAGGGCCCGTCTGGTTGAGGCCTCTGCCCGCACACATACAAGCACACCGAGGTGCACCCCACAGCTTTGATGCAGAATGTTAAAAGCAATGAGTTGTCTGCACTGAGTGACCTTTCTTCCTAAATAGGGCAAACCAAAGTTATATTTTAAAAGAAACACAATGAATTGGCGGAAGACAGGGCAACAAGAAACATTTCCTAGTTAGCCTTTAAAGTAACTTTAAAGGACATTTGAAAAGAATTTTGACAGGTATTTTCCAGGTGTTTTTTTTTTCACAGGTGGGGAACCTTAGCCTTAGGGTAAAAGCCAATCCCTGAGGGTTCCCAAGGTTGCCATGCCCTCAGCCTTTTAATACAATCGTCCCCTCATCTCCCGGCCTTTTATACCGATTTTACCACAGGTAAAGGTCTGGCAGCCATTCAAGGCCACAAATGTAAATGCAGGTCAGAATGAAAAATATGAAATGTTTTCTGTCCACTGGATGATATCATGTGAGGCTTCGTTCACTGTTCACATTTCATGTTGTTTTCATTTGGTTGGCAATTGATTCACAAAATTACTTTTTATGCAAAAAGCTTGCATATTGAACAAAGTACAAGTTTTTAAAATGCAAAATACATGGGGCAAGTTGTGTGTGAAAAAAAAACACACCTTTTTTTAACTGCTTCTGCCAACAAAGACATGTCCTGGGTTCCCACCCCACCCCATGCAGAAATTAAAAATCTCAAACACACAAAAATTTGTTGAAACATTTTGTTGGTGTTGTTGAGCACAACCACATTTGCAAGGATTTGCCATGTCTTCACTCAAGGCACAGAAACTCTGCCCTCTGGAAGCCAGAAGCCTTCTGCAGGTGAATGTTTATCATTTAAGTTAGGTTCCCCTTGACATTTAGTCCAGTCATGTCTGACTCTGGGGCACGGTGTTCATCCCCATTTCCAAGCCATAGAGCCAGCATTTGTCTGAAGACAGTTTCTGTGGTCACGTGGCCAGCACGACTAGACACGGAACGCCGTTACCTTCCCACTGAGATGATACCTATTTATCTACTTGCATTTTTACTTGATTTCGAACTGCTAGGTTGGCAGTTTATTGTTTAAGATACCATCATAGGAATTAATCTGGGTTAAAACTGAGCTCACACAATCACTGGGCAAGCCATTATCTCCATGGTTGCTACTCTTATAGCATGCTGTACATTGATTCTGAAGCACAAAATACACTTTTCTCACTGTGTATGTTACAAACATCACATGCATTTAACATCAGATTATTCCAAATATTGCTACATACAAGAAGTAAAGCATTACCCCCCAGATGTGACCAGTTGTTTATATTTGAAAGGGAAGGCTCCCTACTTTTGTATCAATAACTTGTGGGTTTTCTATATTGGAGGATAAAATGTCATACAAAATGTTCCTGAAACCCACAGTTCCTTTTTTGTCGATTGGAAATGGTACATGTCTTCTTGTCCTTAGGATCTTTTGATACATATCAGGTCAGTCCACATGTGACCCACCAAAGACAGCCCATCAGCCCCCTATTTCATTCAAGCTGAGTACTTAATGGGGCTCTACTGCCTTTCTGGAATTGCAAACACATACAAACAGAGGGATTACCAAGTAAATGGTAGGCATAAAACAGACGTATCTAATTTGTCCTGCTGGTAGGGGGTTGATGAGAGTTGTAGCTCAACACATCTGGAAAGCACCAAGTTGGGTAAGGTGGTTGGAACAGACTGAAGAGGGTGGAAGTAAGCGTCGTACAATGTTTGAACCTTTATGTATGCACATATCAATACAGTGGCCAACTGTACTATTTTAGGAAGGCTGATCCTCTGTTGGACAGAGAACTGTCCTCTCTTTGAATATGTCCACTATTTGAAGGACTGTCCAGGCTGGGTCCGGTTTAAAAATAAGGAACACTAAGGAGAGAGCTTTGGGACCCCAAAGTTGCCCATCCACAGCTGGTACCCAGTCAGCAAATGCAGTAGGTATGTGGGTCACCTGGCCACAAGATTTTCCCACTCAGTAAATATGTACGTACAGTATTTGAATTCCGGTTGAATTGCAACAGGCCTTTCTAATTTCACACAATACTTATAAATCAACACACACAATTTCATATGAATCAGTGCCTTCTTCATGATTCATGTCCTCTTGTTGTGTAAGTGGCTACCCTATGCATTAATCAGAGGAGCTACAGCAGGCAACCCCTAATTTAGACCAATGGGCACTATTTCCAGTGCAGAAGCAACATGGGTATGGGGAGGGTGTTGTAGCTATAGCACCAGCACTTAACACTGGCAGCGTTGAAGGGTGTTGACTGGAGCAACTCAGCTATTTTTACATGTTTCCTATTTGTTAGTGAGATTTTAGTTGAAGCCTCCAATCCTGCTTTACATAGATTTGCTTTTTTGCAACTTTGTGATTCTGCTTGGCTTTGCGAATTAAAAATAGGCATAAGATTTTAGACACAAGAGGAGAATTGCAGAAGTTAATCAGGATGACTTCTTTGCAAATGGAGCTGTGATTAAAACTCCCGTGTCTTTGTACTGTGCTGTTTTCTGAAAGGAAAGATTGCTTCGGCATGTTAACAACACCGACTTAATTTTGTATTCTGGTCTTTCAAATACTATATAAAGCATTTAAAAATTAAAATTCTTGTTGTGAATACTGGCAAATCTGGAAAAATCAGAGTAGATCCTGAGGCAGTTTCTGGGACTGATCCTATAAACCCAACATTTTTACAAATTTAACAAAGTGGCTCCACCCCTTCCTCTCCTGGGCACCTCATAAAAGGAGTAGCAAGGGTACACACATCTAATTGCTTATAGCCACCCTGGGACAGAGGAACCAACAATTACAGCAGGCTTGCACCAATTTATGCAAAGATAGACCCATAACAGGTCTAGCTGTCAGTTACATACTGTATATGCTGGTGGTGTAGATTGTATAGAGATGGGCTTCATCCACAAGACAGACTCTCTCCCGATCCCAGACAGATGTTGCAGTATGCCTTGCAAAAAGGGCCCTGGACTTGAATATGGAACTCTCCCAGGATATGCAGAGTTCATATAGGACAAAAACATCCCTCTTTAAGCCTCAAGTAATCCCAGCATTCCCTATGTAGCCTCAGTGAAATTAAAATGTTGACTTCCTGCATACAGTTTTCAGTGCTTTCTCCATGATTTTTCCTGAGCTACCACTTTTGCGGGGCGGCATGTGACCTTCCAGATGCCGATAGGGGGTGTGAATTATTTGTTTTTGGGAGAGTAAGTCAGACATTTTGCTTCAGAGTCATGTTTAAAAAGATGTATTTTAAAACGCATACGCACACAAGTCGTATTACTAAATTATGCGCAATAAAGCAAGAGGCCTCTTCTTGATTTTCCTCATCAAATTTAAACACCTGAGAGGTCACCACTTGCCTGCCTGAAATACATCTGAGGGGACCTCCTAAGCTGTAAAACAAAGGTGGGGATAATGAAGAGTCCTTTAGCTGCTGCTGGCTGGACTGCAACTGGTATGGCTAGAGCTTTTGAGAGAGTTGCAGTACAAAGAGCCAAGCAACCCCCACACCAGCTTCCCATACTGCCTCTGCACATACACTAAATTATGAAGCATCTTTGTTATTGTAATATCCTGTTTTCCATGCAGAAGGTCCAACTGACATATCAAGGCAGAGATAGGAAAGAATCCTGCCTGAAACCTGGACAGCCTCTTATTAGATGGCCTGAACCAGACAGATAGGTTGAGCAATGGTCTGCAACACTTTAAAGCAGTTTTCTAGTCTCAGCATAGTGATGCATTTCCATGCTGGGAAATTTCATTCAGTGCACATTTTAAAGTGTTTTTAAGTAGTTAGCAGTTCCTGGGTTAGTATGGGTGCCACACTGCTTGGCTCCAATAGGATGCATACAGGGTGGGTAGTTTAGAAGGAAATGCACACAACAATATGTATACTGAGAGGAAATGTGCAAAATGTAGATGAAAATGTTCCTAGTTTTAAAAATGGGGTAGAAAACAGAACACATGCAATTTGATGTCTTCCTTTTGGTGATGGGTGAGTGCTCTGTTGGGCTTTTTCATTTCATTGCTCTACATGTACATTTTCAGATATATCCTTAGAAATCCAACAGCGTTGATGGATATAGTCTAAATATAAACTTATAAACAGTTTAGCCTGCACTGGCTCTTGAAATACTTGCTGTGCTAATGAACTGAACATAATAGCTTCCTTTCTATAGCACTCAGACAACACATACAATCATGCAACAGACCTGAATCGCCTTCTTTTAAAATAATTGGAACTGAATAATATCCAGCAACATTTATGATCAGGAGAATAGGATTTAGGAGGAAGTGGCTAGTTCAGGATTCTGGGTAATGAAAAAAAAGCAGTGTGTGACTTCGGGAAGTTAAATTGTCCCAAAATATATTCAGAAGAAGGGAATGGTGAGACCCTTCTGAGTACACTCTGTCTAGGAAAACCTGGAAAGGGCAGGTTTAAGTTGGAACTGCCTTCAGGGCACACCATTATCATTATGGTAGCACATATTCACAACATTAAAAAAAAAGATATTTCCAAAAAAGGCGAAATACTGATTTAAAAAGGACAGGTATCAAAATCAAAGGACTGTAACAAAGGTTTCTGTTAATGTGTGTGCCTGCATGTGCGCAACTCTGCCTTCCTTCACACAGCCTTCCTCCTCCTCCTCCACGCACCAACAGCGATCATTTTAAGTTCATTTCATTCTGGTTGGTGAGGGAAAGACGTGTACACAGACAGACAGACAGACAGACAGACAGACAGACACACACACACACACACACACACACACACACAAAAGGGGGACAGAGCCTAATCCAGCAGGGCTGAAAATTAGAGGGAATGCTGACTGTATCCAAATAAAAAGAGCAGCTGAAATTATATATTTCTGCAACTCCAAAATACACTTACTTTCCTGGTTAGAGAAAACATACACTGAAACAAAAGGGAATGAAACTCACTCCTTTTAACCCTAAATTCTCTTCTGTTAACATAACAAATGCAAACAAGGGAAACACACTCCTCAAAACATATAAAATAGTCAGTGGCTTCCAGTATTGCTAGATAAAATAGTGGGTTTCCTATTAAGCCCACTAAAGGGCATATCTTACCCCATCCTTACCACCACCAAGGCCCCACAATTCCACTTAAAAACAAAGTGTGTTGGCAGTGCAGCTCTTATTTTAAGTTATCCCAGGCTTCCAGAAGCATCTGTCTGAAAGAAATGTGTGCCTGCTTTACACACCTTGTTTTAAAGTGGAATTCCAGCAGGGGGTTGTCACTGTTGTTATCTCGCCAGTGACAAATCTAGTAGCAGCAGGGGCTCCAAAAATGGGTGGAAGTCCACATGGGGACCACATGTTACCCACCTTGGATACACAGAGTTGTTTACCAACAGTTAACCTATGAGCCCACATTCCACATTGCCAGATTCTCCACCACTATGGTGTGGTGTATTATATAGATAGTACAGTAATAAATTATTATTTCTAAATTGACAGATTTATACATGTATAAATTTATATATGTATAAACCTACATATGAAAAGTTTATGCAGATCCATGTCATTTTTGGTGATACATTTCCTCTGTGTGTGTTTGTGTGCATGTGTGCGTGTCTGCCTTTCATGACAATCCACTCTATCCTGGAGCCATAGTTTAAGGAACCTCAAGAATGTACCTTCACATCCCAAAACTATGGCTGAAATGTCCATTGGGAATGATCCAAGGAGACAAGACCAGTTCCCCCAAAGGCATCAGGTGGTTGATGGGCTAGAACTGTTCCCTACACCAGAGAAGTCATCCCCAAGTGGCATAATTTGTGGAAGAAAGACACACTGTCTCTGAAGAAGGTATCTACAATAGAAACACCACACATGCATGCAGGCTTGCCCCAAAGAGAAAGCTCAAAGGATCTTTCATCCCGGCCAACAAAGCCCCATTGAGCCTCCCACACACATCAACCAGACCCTTGGGGTCACTGCAATGGCAGCTGAGGAGTTCGATCCATGTGCCCCCCCGCCACTGCCCCAAAGGAAAGGGGATAATGGTCCTTTTCAGACTTGGATGAGAGAACAGGCAGGTCACCTCAGGGTGAGGCTCCAGGCTAGGCCGCAACAAGGCAATTAGTGTAGTAAGGACAGCAGAGGGAGATCTGGGAATGGCAAGGACAGACGGATGGGCTACCACCCTGCCTCCTGCTGCCCTAATTGAATCTCCATCATTTGCATGAGGAACAGGAGGGGGTCATGACCTCCCCTCATGCCCCCTGCCAAGGGTTCAAGAGTTGAAACAGCATTTCTCCTCTCCCCTCTCCTACCTCCCCTCAGCACCAGGCAAACTGTAACTCAATTCCAGCACCAAAGACCTCAAGAGGATCGATCCTTCTTCCCTCAGACGTCAAGTTGACTCTCTGGCAGAGGAAGGGAGACAGATGGGGGAGAGGAGAAGACAGAAGCTGGGATGGCATGCTTTCTCCTTCTTCAGAGAGACAAACACACAAACGCATGCACCACACCTTCTAAAGAACCCACTTCAGGCCTATTCAAAACTACAACTCAAACAGGAAGAAAAGTGGACAACTCAAATAATCAAATCTGAACCGAAGCAGCCCAAACAAACAGAGTGGAACCCCAGCCCAAGATACTGCCACTTAATTAGCACTTAATTTTTATAATTAAGCAAGGCTTCACCTCTGCTTCAAGTCATGCTTGGGCAAAAGGCCATCCCATACAGTACTTTTGTGCCAGGTGTTGTTGTTTTTTAAACCCATAAGCATCCACTTCCCCAGCAAACAATGATACCGAGGCCTCAAGCAACCGGTAGAAACCATGGGGCTGAACTTGCCCCTCCAGCCACAGAATTATACCCATTCAGCTTCTATGCCCTCTCAGGCACAGAGTCCTCCTCCATTCCCTGCCCAGTCCTGGCCTTGCCCAACTGGATGGAGAAAGACAGCCCAGCTCCCTCATTGCTAGTTAATATTTCATGCGCTGAGTCTGTTGGGCACAAGCCTCAAGCAGAGCGGTAACTAATGATGATGGGTAGAGGAGACTGCCAGTAATGGGACTTAATTCCCACTCCTCACCTCAGAAAGCAAGGCTTGGGGAGGCCAGGCTAAGAGGGGGGAAACAAACATCTCATATCTCTGAGATTCACTTCTACGATATTTCTACACAGAATATTCAGCCCTACAGAGAATGGGGAGATGGGGGGGAGACCACGGCCGTAACTGGAAATATCTGCCCAGCCACCCCCCTGTATCAGATATGATTTAAGACCCCTTCCTTGCCCAGAAGTGCAATGGAGGGAGGTGTGGGGCAGCCCAGAGGCTGTCTTGCTTCCCATGGGATGCAACTAAGTTCCTGAGAATACAATCCTTAGGCCAGAATTTACTGTCTCGGTGCTTGCTTGCCCAGTCCTCTGTGCAGCAGGCAGAGGATATAATGACAATATGTTATTCATTAAAAACAAGGAAGGTGTGCCAGACCTTAAGATTTCCTAGAAAATCTCCCCACTCTTGCCAGGCCAGGCCTGCAAGGCCCAAGGATGACAATTCACCTGGCGGGTTTGGGGTGGGGGGCTTCTGCAAAGAGTAAGGGAGAGCTCACACTTGTTTAGCCAAAACGCACAGAAAAAGTCTTAACCTCAGGAAATTCATTTAAAGACTCACTACTATCTGAAGTACCTAACCTAGGTCATAGACACCCAGCCAAAATTTGAAAATAGATCACGCTGCCAAAATTCAGCAGCAGAGGGGGAAGGGGAGGAATCCATTTAAAGAGAGTATTTCGCTTGCTTTAAATGCCCTGCAGTTTGCTGCAGTGGCAGAATACTGTAGCTGGTTAAAGCAAACGTTCATTAAAAACAAGGTTTAAAGTGCCTCGAAGTGGGGTATTCTCCATTCAGTGGCAAACTCCTACAAGGAGCCCCCAACTTGTCTGCTTTAAATTCTTTCCTACCTGTCACCGAAACCTGGCGTCCCAATTTGGTGGAGCAGTTTTTAGGGATGCTTTCAGGAAGTAGGCTTGGAAGGGGCACATGGCCGAGAAGGAGCATGATTTCTGTACACTGACTGGCAAGAGGCCTGCAAGGTTTCAGGCTCAAGTCTTTTTTTAGTCCTGGCATATATCAGCAGCCCTGGTAGGAAAGCTTCAGAGGCTCCAGATCCCATAATCCTTTCTAACTGGCCATGCTAAGACTTTCTGGGAGCTGAAAGTCCAGAACACCTGGAGGAATGAAGGTTCCTCTGCCCTGACATATGGGGTCCCCACAAGAAGACAAGTTGGGTAACAGGAAGACAAATGATCTGCCCCATTCTACGCCTTATTAGCATTTCCAGCCCATCATGGTTACAATTACAGTTGCTGAATGAGCATCTGAAATTTCTTATGAAATCCTCTGAAAATAGCAAGAATTGCCTCCAAACCAACTATGCCCCTCATTAAAGAGAGACAGAGAGTTAAGACATGGCTCTCCAATGCTGCAGGACTGAAGTTACCATGACTCTTCTCTCTTGGACATGCTGGCTTTGTTTGACAGGAGCTCCAATCCAACAACATCCAGAAAGTCACACATTACACACTTAGACAACAGAGATCCATCCGTCACCAGCTACAGAAGAATTCCTATCTGGTTCTCAGTCCAGGGAGGCAGCTGAATTTACAGAAATAAAATGAGAAATTTGAAACAATCATGGATATACAGTGGTGCCCCACAAGACAATGATAATGCATTCCAATGAAATTGCTGTTTAGTGAAATCGTCTTGCGAAAAGCGTTTCCCCATTGGAATGCACTGAAACCCGTTTAATGCGTTCCAGTGGGGAAAATAGTCGTCGTTGTGCGAAGATCGCCCATAGGGAAGCCATTTTAAATTGCTGTCTTCTGAAGCATTGGTGCCGAAAACACCCTAGGGAAGCCATTTTGCGGAGCCGCCGATCAGCTGTTAGAATCGTCCTCTTGCTAAGCATTGGTCCCGGGGAAAAAAGCTTCTTCCAAAGCACGGACCGAAACGTCGTATAGCGAAATTCCCCCATAGGAAACACTGTTTGTGAAGCACAATGGCGGTCACAAAACCTCGTCGTCATGCGGATTTGTTGTTTTGCGGGGTCATCGTCTTGCAAGGTACCACTGTATAGCCTGATAACCTTATCTGATTCCTATTTGTTCTTCCCTAAGAACTCTCACCCCACAGTCAATATGATCCAAGGAGAGCATCTCACCTTTTTGAGGTTTCCAGCACGGGTCCCAATAAAGACAACTGAGTGGCCACGGTAGGTATAGGCAGCAACACTGGCCATGCCCTCTGCCTTCTCTTCAAGTAGTGGGTGCCCCTCGATGACCTGCAGTCCCCCCAAGGGCTGGTTGAGCACCAGCCCACAGAAATTCCCATTGATCTGCATGGGCTGGAAACAAGGAGAGAAAGGAACATGAGGGTCAACAGTAAATGGGATCCTATTCCGTTTACTTCCACCACACAGTTTGGGCTGGAGATACAAAAGGGCTGAAATCCTGTTGCTTAGCGCATTCAGTTGCCTCTAAAGTAGGCCTATTGAATCAGTGGGGGTTCGGTGAGTCAACTCTTCCATAAGATCCACTGATTCAATGGCTCCCCTCTAAGCAGCAAGATTTCAGCCAATCATCTTCCTAGGACTTCCAATACATTCCACTTTTTGTTTGTTCCCTTTAAAAAAAAGGAGAATAAGTAAGCATTGCAAGAGCCCAAATGAGAATTCCTGGTCTGCATTTTGGGCATCTGGAACAACATGGGATCAGAACGGTGAAACATTTCTATTTTTGGACCCCTAGTCCCAAGATTCCCCAGCCCTAGGTAATGTGAACTGTGTGCAAAAGTAACTTCTTCAAGCTGTGCATGAAGGAAAAAAAGGGTGGGGGGGCCTTTGAAGTCCTAGGACTTCCAGGGCCATCTCTGAGCAGAAAGGAAAGTAGCAGGAAGCAAGCGAGGGGGGAAGGAGAGCCCAGCGGGCTTGACCATGTTGTACCGTGTTGATGCAGGGGAGCTCTTTGTTGAGAAGCCACGGGAGCGAGAGGCGCCCTTCTCCACGGTAGCATGACTGGATGCGTTCACGGATGCGCTGGTTGACCTCATCCAGGGTGAAGAGGCACAGAAGACTCTCCCGCGGTGGGGCCGCTCGGTTCTTTTGGCCCTGGGAGAAGGCAGCATAAAGTACATCCTGCCCCTCGGCGATGCCAAGGGACTGAGCCAGCTGTCGACCTGCTTTGGCTAGCTGAGCCGCCTGCACGAGGCGGTATTCCACTCCGTCCTTGGAGCAACCCAGGGGAAATTCCACGTAGGAGTAAAACTCGGTGTCGTTGGCACATAGACGTACAATCTTGGATGAGAAGAACCGCTCCCCACCAGTCACACCAGGGCCTCCCGGACCTCCTGCTGGCTCCAGAGGAGTCTGGGCTGTGTCCAGCTGCAAGGTGAGGAAATACACAAAGCGGCCAGAGACAAAGGCGGACACATAGTAGATGTCAAAGGCAGGGTAGAGCGAGAGTGTGTCCGAAGGAACCTTGATTTGGGAGGAGACAAACTCATCTTGATACACCAGGCTGAACATCTCGGGGCTGGTGGCGTCAGGAGTCAGGCGGCGGCTGGAGAGGGTGGGGAAGTATTCGGAGCGCCCTCCAATGGAGGTGCCCACAAAGAACTGGCTGGGCTGTCTCGGCAGCTCCACAATCACACCCACCATGGCATCAGGTTCACGCCCACCCGAAAGGTAGTGCTCTTTACGCTGGTGCGGCTCACCCAGCTTGGCCAAATCGTCCAGTCGCAAGAGCTGGCAGACGCCTTGCCAGACGCTGCCACAGGCCACCAGGCGGCTGCCCGCATAGTCAATCAGCAGCAACTTGTTCACATTGTCGGCCGGGGAGAGTCGGTGAGCGCAGAGCCTCACGCCCGGAGGAGGGTAGCACCGGGGATCATCCGGCACCGGGCCCGTCTGGTGAACCCGCAACTGGGTCAGGTTGGCCAAAAGCTTGTAGATGCGGTTGATGGCTCCAACATAGACCTCTCCTGTGTCATGGTGAACCGCCAAATGGGTGAGAGCCATGTCTGATACAGCGAACGTGGCCTGCCTGGGCGGGATGCCTACGACAGGGGGCGGCACGGAGAGGAGGAGGACCGTGGCGGTGGTGGTGGCGGTCAACAGCAGCCACCACATGATCACCAGGGAGTCGCCTGGGGTCAGGCAGGGCCAGACGCAGGCAGTTCATTCAGCCTGCAAGGGAGAGAGAGAGAGAGAGAGAAAGAGAGAGGAAAGACAAGGGTGAAGAGCCACCAGCCCAGCATTGCGCGGCACTAGGCAACAGAAAAGCAGTCCCCGTGGCACAGTAGAAATTAAAGTGACAGCCAAGCATTCAAATTCTCAAGGCAGGTCGCAATCCTGTGCACAGCCTTCCTTGGTAATAAGCCTTGCTGAGCTCGGCGGAACGCATTTCAAAGAAAGCATGCACAGGTCTGGGCTGTAGGGTTGCACAGCACTTTGTTGGTTGTAACAGGCTAACAAAGCTCATCTCCTGGAATTAGGTTTAGCGTTACTTCCAAGCTAATCCCCCAATCTCCAGGGCACCTCCTCCCCAGTCAGCGCTCCAAAGCACCATCTCAAAGACTCAAAGACTCAGAGTGAGCAATGTTCCCACCGAGGTCTCACTGGGGAACCCACGCTTGTTCTGGTGAAGAGTCACCCCCTCCAAGAATCTGGCTTTGTCATTTCTCTTCCAACATACAGCCAGCCAGCCACATACACACACACACACACAGCTTTTCATTAGCACCCCTCCACATACAGCACAAAGCAAGCAGCCCTTGCAGGACTGAGAAGCAGACACCTCGCCCACCATGCCACATGCACACCTGCAAGAGCTCAGAAGAAATGAAAGCGGCAATTCCACCTGTCAGATCCAATGAACAAAGATGGCACATACCAGAGGTTACTCCCTTCTTCTTGTCAAGATCACACACACACACATCTTATCTACCCTATGTGTTTGAGTGCAGTCTATCTTGTTGCAAATGCCAGGAGGCCTGTGTAATCCTGACACTTGCAAAAAAAGACCAACACATCTGTGCAACACTGCATGCTGCCCAGGGGATCGGAGGGGGGGGGAGTGTGACTCTCCTCAGCTACAAACTGTGCTGTGTTAATACATCCTCACAAGGCCCACCTAAGCTACAGGTCACTGGCATGCAGTGGCTCAGGGGCCCATTTAAACAATACACTGCGCAATGTTAACTGGGAGCCTCTTTTTTGCTTTCCCACATCCTGCTTCAATGGGGCTTTTAATGGGCACCTGTGTGCTTGTCATTTGATGACTTCATCATTCAGGGAATTCTTTGCATGTCTGAAGGGGCCACCGTAGATAAAGCAAGACATTCCCGTCTCACTTCAAATGCAGTGCTTTCCACTTGATTAACTTTACGTGCTCAGCTGCAGAGCGAAATGATGAGAAACCAAGCAAGGTGCATGCATGTGCAAAAGAGACTTATGATCTCAGTCCTCAGTTGCATGGGATGTCACAAAACATCATGGGAGGATCCTACGAAAACCAGGTTTCCTCATCTCTCCCCGCAAACTTGCTAAGGCACAAGATCCTCCGCACACATGTTGAAAGCAGCCACGCCTCCCTTGGGATCCCATCTTTTCAAATTCAGACAAAGGAAGACAGAATGCATAATTTGTCCTCAGGCTCACTGGTAAACCTATAGAAGCGGGTCGGTGGGTATGAACAAGCAGCCTAGTGTTTATATGGTGGTGGAAGCAGTGGGCCTTACCTTGTTAGCACTGATAGCAAGTCCAAATCAGTGCCTCGAAAATGCATTAAAGAAGGAATAAGCAAAAGGTTTTATTTCAAAAGGAACTCCCTGAGTCACTTGTTACTTCTTGGCGGCCAGGTTGTCTTTATCCTTACTGTTACTCCCCTGATACAAATAAATTGTTGCACTGTACGTTTTTAGCACACCGTCAGAAAAAACACAGGGAAGTACTGTACTTTTTAGTTCTCTCTATTGGCCAGTTCTGATATTGCAGTTTGCAAGTATTTATAAAAATGCAAAAGACAAAACCAAAGGAGGCTTTCTTTGCCATTTAGGAATGACGCAAACCCTGAAAAATTCCTAGTAAAATGCCTCTGAGTAACATTTGAAAGTAACATAAGAACTATATGTCATACCTAAAAAGTAACTTTGTAACTGTCAGCTACATTACTGATTATCCCAAAAGTAATTAGTTACAGCCAAGCTCTGGGAATGGGCAAATGAACAGTTGTGGGCCAAACTTGGCTGGCGAAGCAATTTCTCCCACCCATCCCTAGAAGCTCCATCAAACGTTACTCACATTCTGCTCATCTTTATATAATTAATTTAATTCCTGCAATCCCCACAATAATAACCATGTTTTCAAAAGTAGGAGGAAAGAAAGATATTCCTCTCTGTTGACATCATAACCATCTAACTGACAAGTACTGGTAAAACGTTAGCACATTGCCTTGTCAAGAGAGGGGGTTATCCTCAGATACGCACATCTACCTATCAACCAACCTACATGTTAGTAACACTCCAACACTCCAACTCATTTTAGACTTACAGTACTGTCAAAAAACCATCCAATCCTATGCTATGCCATCAATTACTCTTCAATGGAAGGGCACATGCATGCACTGATTGTACCCACAACAGAGCTGAGGACCCCACCCATCCAGCAAAGCCAACTCATAGGACTACCACTCTTTCAAGCAGTTGTTCAACGGGTCTTATGGGCATCCAAACCTTTTACCCAATAGTACTGAATGGCAGGTGCTAAGGACTGGAGTAAGGACCTTATGCACACAACACATGGGCAGTTCCTGTGCCTCTGGGACAACAACCAAGGAAGTTCCGTGAAGTTCTATGTGCCTACTGTGATCTCTTTTGTGGTGCCTCGGTGTGTGTGTGTGTGTGTGGGGGGGGAGGATTAAAAACAAACAAAAAAAATCTGCCCGGTAACTTCACCACTATCCTACACCTAAACCAAAGCAAACACACAGAACCTGGAACACATGCATGCATGCGTGCACACATGCACGCGCACCCCTGCCAACAGTACACTGACACAGATCTTGGTTTTCCCATCCCTTTCCCCCACGCTATAGCTCTGAATCCTCCACACCCACCACAGTGCCTCCCAGGAGATGCCTTATAAATGACAACACCAGTACGACAGACACAGCACAGATGCTCTGCTTCTCCCCTTTGCATTCAGTGCAACCCCACCCTCCTCACCCTTGCAACCCACGAACCCCTCAACTCAACTGTGAGGACATCCCTGGAAATCAAAATCACCTCCACGAGGTACAAGCTCCAAGGAGCTACTTGGCTGCCTCATTCCTTCCCAGTGAATCACAGAGCCCAGTTTCTCCATCCTCTCCCACCTCTTTGACCAAGCCCTCCCGCTCTCAGTTCCTTTCTCTTGGCATAGTCTTCCTCAGCAGGCACGGTTTATAAACCGATCCACTCCAGAGAGGCCAGGCAGAGGCACAGCGCAGCCCCTAGCTGTGCCCATTCCCTCTAAGAAGACCCCAAAATGTAAAGATTTCCCAATGCACTCACCAGGCAGGGGAGCATGCAGGGAAAGAACCGCCTGTCTGGCATCCACAGATCTTCCTGCTAACAAAGAAAAGAGACCAACTTGTTACACCCACCTTTTGGACCAGTCCATCAAAAACCACACTGGCTACGGTGAGTCAAACTGAGGAACCACAAAGCAGCTGTGGATCCTCCTTGGCTAGGTTGACCTCAGCTTTCCCCATCTGCAAAATGGGGGCAATCTCAATTGGACTCACACCTCAGCCGAAGGAAATATGGAAACACTGGAAGCCACAAATTCCAGGCAAGAAGAGAACCTGGAATTCTTCTCTTCTGGTACATGCCACCATCAATCAAGCTGACCCAATTCCCAGAGCCAAGCGCCCCCTCTTCTCCAAATGCTTAGCTCCTACTCCCAAAGCTCTTTTAGAAAGACATAACAGGAGGAATTTGGGCTCCAGCCACAAACCCACCACCCCAGGAAGGTGCTTAGAAATCCTTCCCAAAAACCGAGGATGCATTTTTGGGGGGTTTCATAGAACGTAGTTTATGGAAGGGTGGGGGTGGTTTAATCAAAAACAAAGCCCTAGATAAAGAAGCCAACAAATGTACCGACTGACAAATCCAGTATGACCGCAAGATGAAAGAAGCGACGGAGGGGGGGGAGAGATGTATGTTATCTACTAAGCAACACCCCCCCGCCAACAAATCAACCGTGGCTGGAGTAGGATGGGCGTTAGCCAGTGTTCTCCATCCCAAGATTGGGCTGTTCCAGGGTAAAGGAACCAGAGCCATTGTGGGGAGGAGGCGGGAGGAAGGAAAATGTTGAGATCTCCAGGCATGTCTTCACACACACACACACACACACACACACACACCCGCCCCCGGGACTGATACAATCTCGAACCACTAAATTTCTGTTCACTTGGCAGTCTCATATGTATTACCTTACCTGCTCGCCTGCCTGCCTGCCTCCCACCCTTTTCCATCCTCTCTCCTGGTGGCCGAACGAGATTGCAAGGCAAACCCACTTTCCCGATCCAGAGACGAGAAACCGCCTTCAGTGGTCGATTAAAAAAAAAAGAAGAAATGGAAGGGGTGGGGAGGCGGAGGGGGAAAGGATGGGAGGGAAGGAAGGAAGCAATACAAGAACCACAACCACAAAAGGGGGAAAGGATGCCCCAGATGGGGCGCCTGCGGCTGGCACCGAACCAGGCGAAAGCTCCCCGCCCTGCCTAGCAAAGACCCAGTCCAACCCGGGTGGGGGGAAAGAAAGAGAGCGGAATCTCTCTGCTCCCCGCGCCGCCCCAACAACATCCGTAGGAACCAGCAGCTTTCCTCCCAAGCAGCCACACCGTTGTCTCAAAATCCTCATGCTCCGTACCAAGTAGGGGATGGGTTGCATGCATGCATGTCAAGAGGGCGGGGGTTGGGGCGGAAAAGGGCCTCTGCCTTCCCCTTACCTACGTCCTCCCGAACCTCTCGGCCGTTTTTGCACGGATCCAGCCTCTACCTGCCACGCCGAGCTCCGTACCTCCCACCGCCGCCTGCCTGCCTGCCCGGCTCCCTCCCTCCTTCGCTGGCTCTCCAGCCGCCGCTGTTGCTTGGCGTCTGCTCCCGCCCCAACCGGTCTGAGCCCTTTAAACGCGGCCAGAACCATTACAGACACGGGGGTGGGGGGCGTTCAGGGAGGATCGGGGCCTAGGGAAAGCAACCTCTCCCCCACCTTCCGGACCCCCTCCCTTCCTTCGTGTTTCTCTCCCGAGGCGGCGTCACTCTTCTTGGCTCAGGGGAGGAAGATGGTGGGGGTCTCTCCTCCCCTCCCAATTCTCGCACACACCCCCGCCTCTGAAATGGTACCGTCCGGGCACTCATTCATCCCAGACCCTTGAGCAGGGGCCAGTTGGAGAGTCGGGGTGTTATTATTGCGAAGGGGGTGGGTGGGTCTTTCTCCCACAGAAGCTGTGTCGTCTGGGGGTGTGTGTTTGTTTTTCAGGGCACTACGTGGACGGAGGAGGGGGAGAAAGGGGAGCAGCGTGTGAGTGCAGGAGGCCATCGGGCTGAAAACTCCCTTTTCTGGCTGAGGGTGCGAGGAAAAGCCGCCGCCGCCCCCCCGGGGGGGAGAAGGGGGGTGTCTCTTTCTTGTTGGTTTTTACTACAACGGGTCGAGAGGCGCCCTTTTGCTTGCCAGCGGCCAGGCTCACGCACGATCCGGGCGCGGGGACAAAGTGCCGACAACAATCGATGCTTGAGGGTGGAAAAGGGCGATGGTTCATTTGCAAGCACAAAATTAGACGATAATAAATCCTGGACTTCTCTCTTCCTGCTAGAACTCGGGCGGCGGAGGCGGGTAAAATGAGGGGAATCGGGAGCTCGCATCCCGGTGCGACCCTCGTGAAAGGAAACGGGAAACTGCTGGGAGAGAGAGAGAAAGAAAGAAAGCGAAGGAGCTGCCCCCTAGTTGATATATTTCCCCATTCCACCCCTTAAGACCCCGTGCGATCCTTCCTGAACCCTCTGCAACGTTGCTGTGCCTACGTCGCCCCCTGGCGGCAGGAAAAGAACAACAACCAGGACCCGTCCTCCCTTATTTTGCAGAGGAGGTGGGGGAGAGACACTAGTTGCACGCGTGGAAATCCGCCTGAACCCGTCCACGATCTCGCCTCACCTCAACTCCTCAAGCTTGCCCCCCGGATCACGCTCCCGCACCCCCATATCCGACGGCCTCTTCTTCCCCGCCACGCGCCTCCATTCCCCGGTTCAACCTCCTCTCCCACGCCCCCGCTCTGCTTTTTTTGCGCCCAGGCGGTTGCCTCTGTACCATCCAGGGCACGTTGTCATGGCAACGGGAGCCAGGAGATGAGAGAGGTGATGGACGCCCCATGGGTGGCGGGAGAGGGACGGCGAGTGGGGTGGGGGGAGAGGGAGAGGAAGGAGATTAGGGTGCAGGCCGGTGTGGGTGGAAGGGGATGCAGTCCTGAGATTGCGGGATTGGGGGGGCGCAGGTTTAGAATATAGTACCCGATAGACCCATTTCACAGCATCGCCATCTCACCCCAGCCCGGACCCGCCTTCCCTTTCCCCCTTGCACGCTTTCTCCGTGAGTCACAAACTCGGCGGCAGGCAAGAAAGCGAAGCGAGGGTCCAGCCTCCGAAGAAACAGAGAAAGCCTCGTCCTGTCCCATCCCGTCCCGGCCTGAGATCCAGGAAGGGAAAGGCGCGGGTGAAGTGTGGGCGCGGGGGGGGGCGTCGGAGGGAGAGGGAGAGAAAGCTGCAGCCTGGCACCGCGGACGCCCGGCAAACCGCTGAAACGCAACACGCCCGAGGCCCCTTTGATGAGAACCAGATGCCTTTGCAGCTACCGAGCAGCCCTGGCAAGAGGGCCCACGTGCGCTGCGTGTGCAAGAAGGCTATGGGGGGGCGGAGGCAATCGAGGGGAGTGTGGGTATTCCAGAGAGGATTGTTTGCACACGCACACACATCCCTGTCATGAAGCCAGGGTGACAGCGAGCGAGGGACAAGAGCTGCGGGCATCTCTCCTGTGAAGTTGCATTGGTAATCTAATGGGGGCAAAGACAGGGTGGAAGGGTACCCAGGGACTTGCTGTAGAGGCCCGAGGAGCAGATCAGGACTTAATTCTGATCAAGGTAAGACTAGGATTTAGCTTTAACCCAGGGACCATTACTCGAGTAAAGGTGCCTCTGGCCATATTCAGAGTGCATTCCCCACCACCGCCACTTCTTGGGCCCTTGATAGATATACTACAGCCCACCCATAAAGATCAAGGGTAGAGCAGAAGTTTTAGGTATCACATTTGCCAGGAAGGCAGAGGTAATAATGTTATTTAAACACCAGCAACTTTATCCCAGATTTATAAGCAAAGTCTCATAACCATGTGTCTACTGTTTTAAATAGTTTGGATTATACAGAAGAAGGAGAGAAATCAAAACAAGAGCTGCAAGTAACAGGAGGAAATGAAAACCTATACTGTACGGTGAAATTTTTAGCGTTTAAAAATAGCGTCTTTAGAAGAGGAATCTTCATGGTACTTATGGAAATAAACACATAATAGCAGAATAGTCATTTTTTCCTATACAAGGAGAACTAATTGTTCAGTACCTTGACATAAATGGCGTTTTTTATTTTGGTTTTTGCTAGAAGTTTGTTTCAGTCACCCATATATCACAGAAATGGGAACTATCTCTCTTAATGGTTTGAGCTTGAATACTTTGCTTTTATTCCTGGGCTGGGGAGCAATTTTGTCTTATGATCAAAAGGTCCCAAATCCTTTCAAAACAACTGAGAATAAATGTAAACCTTTTGCTCTCCCTCACTGCACCTCTGGTATGGCCGCCTGGAATTGTACTGCCATCAAGAGTGGAGAAAGAAGCTCCTTTCCCAGAGGCCTGGTTTGGCTGGGATGCCGAAGCTGTGTCTGGAGTGTACCTAAAATGGCAAACGTGGGTGGGATCCTGTGCCTCTTTAGTAGTTGTGCAGAAGAGGACAATTCAGCAGAGGTAGCCTGTAGAAATATCATCTTACACAACTGTTAGATGTGGAGAATCCTATCCACCCAAAACTTTGCAAACCGTCATCCTATGTACAGATATTACAGAGGTAGAATCCAGACATTGGCTAGACTAAGTTGCATCACTTCTGAACTCAGGCAGGGGCTCCCTTGACAGAATGCAAAGAGTTCTAGCTGCAGACGTCTCCTTTAATGATTGCATTGCTTCAAATGCAGTTTTTTTTAAGTGGCATTCAATCCTGCGAGCTCCCACCTACAGGCCAGAATCTTACTGCCAATTTACACTTATGGAAAGGAAATTGTGTAAGTCTTGGCAGCAGATCGCCCCTCATTAGTGGGATGATGTTTGTATTACTTAGTGTATGCCTAAGGAACACAGCCAGCATGTTGTTAATGAGCAGCAAATTTGCCACCAAGATTCAAATGATTTCCAAGCATAAATTTTGCAAGCTTAAATTGGTCATAGGATTCCAGCCAGCGTCTCTGAAGTGGCACAATCCAGATCTGACAGGTTTACCATAAAGTTAGAGGAGACTCAAGTCTGAGGGACAGAGAACATTGACTCTCAGTGTCTAAAAAGATTGCTCGGATTCAAGCAGATTCTATGCAGTGGACAGATTCTGAACTGTCAGGAGCATCCTGATCTCTTTTTGCAGGAGATGTGAAAGAGGCATTTTCAGTCTGAAATGCAAACCCAACCCATTTCTCTTCCTCCTCTCTACATCCCAGCTGTTCTCTGAAATACACCCATAACTTAAATTTTTATTCCAATGAAATAACACCTTTACAACCTCTTTCTATGAACTAACCAAACGGCAGGAGAGCTTCATTTGCTGCTCCTTAGACACAGGAGCAACTGGTGAACCTGGATAGACTGCAACCAGAGCAACGACTTCTAGAAGGCTCTGTTTTTACCCAGAGGGGTAGTTTTAAAAGGACTAATATTTATTGTTGTATCAGTAGTCATGGTTTGGAGCTCGTTTCATCAGATGTCTCCCTCTGTCCATGTATGCATGGCTTTTGGAGAGCACCAAAGAATTTCAGAAGGAGATCAGTCTATGTTTTATAGACTACAGCGATGCCTTTGTGTAGATCATGAGATCATGATCTGTGTGGATCATGAGAAGCTACAGGTGGTTCTGAAAGACGTGGGTGAGCCTCAGCACTTGATTGTCCTGATGTGTAACCCATATTGTGAAGAAGACATTAGGACAGACTATGGAGAGACAGTGGTTTTCTATAACTAATGGTGTCGGACCGGGGAGCATTTTATCCCCTTACCTGCTCAATCTGTACATACAGTAGAACATATTATATGGGAAGCTGCACTAGATTCAGATGAAGGAGGAATGAAAATTGGTGGAAGAAATATCAATAATTTAACTCGCAGAAAGTAGCAATGACTTGAAATTAGTTTTAGTGAAAGTGAAAGAAGAAAGTGTCAAAGTAGGACTGCAGTTAACCATTAAGATGACAAAAACATGGCTACAAAATTGAACCACGGCAGCTTTAATGTTGACATACCTTGGTTCAATCATTAATCCAAATGGGGATGGCATCCAAGGAATCAGAAGACTGAGATCCAGAAGGGGAAGATCATGAAGTGCATGGATGTGTTCCTGGAGACCAAGGCCAAAAGAAATCAGAAGACTGAGATCCAGAAGGGCAGCCATGAAGGAATGAGGAAGATCATGAAGTGCATGGATGTGTTCCTGGAGACCAAGGCCAAGATCACTCGCACCCTTGTATTCCTGAGATCACTATGTATACAGATGTGAAAGCTGGACAGTAAAGAAAGCTGATGGGGAAATTTTTTTTTGCTTCATTTAAAATAAGATGCTGGAGGAGAGTTTTGCATATCACTCAGACTGCCAGAAAGAGAAATAAGTGGGTCCTAGATCAGATCAAGATCCTGAACTATCTCTGGAAGCAAAAATGTTGAAACTGAGGCTGTCCTCCTTTGGACTGGGCAGATTATGGGAAGGCAGAATACTGTGGGGGTAAAAAAAACAGCCATGCTGGGAAAGGTGGAAGGCAGGAAGGAAAAAGGAAGACCCAATCTGAGATACATTCACTCTCTAAAGGAAGCCGAAGCCTTGAGGGTACAAGACATGGCGGAGAGCTCTCCTTCGTACATCGGCCACCTTCAGTCGGGGGTATCTTGACGGCAGGTAACAACAATAAAAAATTGTCTAAGTATTTTTGTTTTAATTCCTGTTTGTTTTAACGATATAGTGTGATGACCTGTGTCCCTTCACCGGGGGGGAGGGAGTGGCTGCCCGAGGAAGCTGCCCAGGAGTTTCCTTAGCCGACAGACAAGTGGGCCGGCTGTCAGGCTGCAGTTCTGGATGGAGGGTGCAGAGGTGCTGTCTCGGGAGAGAGCCGGCAAGCGAGGCAAGTTTTTTTTTATGCCTGACAGCAGAGGATGTGTGGGCGCTTTGGGGGGGCAGGCAAGGCAAGGGCCACAAACTATCATCTGGGGGGCCACAAATGGCCCCCGGGCCGCATGTTTGAGACCCCTGCTCTAAAGGAAGCCGAAGCCTTGAGGTTACAAGACATGGCGGAGAGCTCTCGTTCGTACATCGGCCACCCTCAGTCGGAGGTATCTTGACGGCAGGTAACAACAATAAAAAATTGTCTAAGTATTTTTGTTTTAATTCCTGTTTGTTTTAACGATATAGTGTGATGACCTGTGTCCCTTCACCGGGGGGGAGGGAGTGGCTTAAAAATACAAACAAACAATACTGTAAATAAAATAGTACAATACTTGCAGCTTGTCCTTCCCTTCTCTGCCCACTCACAGCCTACAATACGGGTAAGCAATGCCTCTTAAAATGATGCCATGCAGCTTGGAAGATTTTGGAAATCTAAAGCAGGGCTGGATTTAACCGTTTTACTGCACTTCTCACTATTCTTAAGCTCTCCTGTCCAGGGCTGATGGGAGTTAGAGTTCAGCAACCTCCGGAAGGCCATGTGGCTTTCAGCCTTTCCCTGGAGGATAACAGGATTCTCACCTCAAATGTAAAGTGTCCCAGAGATGGAAAAGTCTCATGCACTGTAGTCTGAAATGTTTCCTCAGTGTCAAGCCTCATCGAGTCTGTCCGAAGGGGCTTGTTCCTAACTGAGCATGCATTAAGTTGCCAGTTCACAGCGAATTCCACCTCCGTTTATTCACATCTAAGTGCCACTGCATTCAATGTGGCTAAGGCCCATACCTGTGTACAAACCTCTACATTCTTTAATGGAGGGGGGGTTTATCCCATCCTGGCTTGCGTTTCTAGGGATGGGAGAATGTATTATGAGACAGTGGCCCTCCAGACCATTTTGAACCGCAGTTCCCATTAGCCCTGGGCATCATGGCCAATGGTGCGGGAAGGTGGGATCTGCAGTTCAGTAACATCTGGGTACCCATTTTGGCATAGCAACTTGAGGTGACAGACCAGGACTCAGGAGAGCTGGGTTCAAATCCTGATCAGCCATGAAACTCACTGAGGGAGAGGGTGGGGAAGGTGTTGTTGTTTAATCGTTAAGTGGTATCTGACGCTTTGTGACCCCATGGACCAGAGTACACTGGGCCCTCACATCTAAGGATGGGGAAGGTATCACTCCTTAAATAT